CATTCCGGAATGTTCGTTTGTTCAGTTTTCAAAATTTTAATCGAGAACTGTGTCAACACATTTTTCAAGCATAGTCTGAAATGGAAGTCGCCAGGTTGAAACGAGTGCCGTAAAGCTCGAGAAAGCTGCTTTCTAATTGGCGGATGTCGACTTCTTGTTAGTCATTTCAGTAGTAGGTCAAAGCTCGCGAAAGGTCGTTCTAATGTGACCGGGGATGGGATGTCCTCAGATCTTTGTTTAGCGGCAGCGAGAACTTAGATCTGATTTTAATGAGATTGAACATGTTCGAGACATCCGTAGTTTGCGACAACCAGACAATCGTAATAAGACAGGAATGCCGACATGGATGATGTCGGGAGCACAAATGTATCGTCTTAAAAGTTATATAGAGTTAACTGGATTCAAATGAATAAGGTTGCATTGTACACTTATCAACCATCCATATTGGCTTTTTTTTATAAATGAGTTAACAAAGGATAATGCAATGGATAAAACATATCAAGAAACGCATCATCAGCACAGACGGTTTTAACTATATACTGTTGTTGCTGTCTGGCATTTGCATTTGTCATTATTAGACAATGGAACATACCATCTCTAGATTTGGGGTCATAATGTCATTTCCTTCACTGGTATTTGAGACTTTATTGCAACTAATATCGACACAGATGTATATAAATAAGACAGACGGTTATAGTTAGATACAAGGGGATAAGGCAGACGTCCAGGAGTTATGGGTTTTGGTTTAGAGATTTGTTATTCCCGACCGTTGCAGTCTCCAATAGTTTATTTACCCATGGGGGTTGAAATGTGACAAGCAAGACAACTTCGTCCGCTGTATCAAATAAATAACAGAAGCCAGCGGCGATAGTCATTAATGATGAGTTGTTTCGACATACGTTTCTCGTATTAATAAACACATCTCCAGTAAAATGTGTTGGGACGAGGTAGAACACGATACATTATCATATTCACAACTTTGTATTTCTGAAGTTTGTAAAATCAGCATGTTAGACATTCGAACCGTTGCCACACACAAATGCATGTACAAGTTGAAAAATTAGAAATCTTCCTGACAACAGCGTACGCAGTACGTTTTATAAATGGCATTAGTCCAGATGAAACACGGCAAGTGGTAAATCTCTTTATTTGACATGCTCCTGGGCCATTCGTCAGTGAAACTCACGTATGCTTTGAGCGTTGAGCGCGGTTAAAGCCCTCTTCATATTTGTATGAACTATGTTTAGGTTTATACCCCTGACGTCTACGAAACTCAGGACAACAACCTTGCAGAAAGAAGAGTGAATGAATGAGTGAGTTTGGTTTAAGGCCGCTTTAAACACTAAAGGCTTGTTGGCTCAATGTGGGAGGAAAGTCCGAAGTGATGGGTCGAAACAAGTAACATATCATTTAAAGTTCGGGGCCTATCGTTTGAATATTACACATAGAAAAATGGCGAACCTTTGATTTGTTCTTTGATCAGCTTTCAAACAGGACATGGTTCCCGAAAATATATATAGTTTCAAATGTGAAATGATGATCTGAACTTGAATTTCGTTATTCCTACACGTGTACTTTATATTCCTACCTTAAGTCTCGTGACTACCGAAAACGTGGGTCACGGAATGACCCAAGACACTTCAAGTCGTTGTTTGCATCAAAGATTTATCCCTACTTTAGCCCTAGTAACCACATGCAGATTACACACTCTGACCTAGCTGGACACACTGACCGTTGTTGCAAACATGATAACATAGCACACAAATTCATTCCATACATACAGTGAATCATTTAGAGAAATCTACCGACATGTTAAATGTTAAATGGTATCACATTATCGTCTAGCATCGACTCGTATTGTTCTCCATCTCCCCAAATCGGAATACTGTTTATCACCCCACGACTCTATTCCGCATATTAATTACTGCAATTTGCACCCGCTATCTCATTCTTAGGTGACTCATATGAGATGATATGTGTACACTGTTGGTTGACGAATGCAACATGTGACGACAGCTAGGCTGTTATCTGCCTTTCCATTGGCCCAAAGTGCAGTCACAATCACATGATTTATAAACACATGCATGAAGACAGATCAATCATTGAATAGACCGTTGTTGTGATCGCATGGCTTTAAGGGCACAGACTATAGCCCATGCTCCACTGATAGTGGGGATTTCTTGCATAATGTACCAATTACGAGTCAATATTAACTGATTCGAAAAGTCGCATGTTCAGTCAATTACCTAAGGGTGTGAAATCTTCTGTATCAAGTGTTATTGACAGAATTTCAAGGAGTTCACAATTGCTGATTTACAACCCCGTAAATTCTCAACTTATAGGCCAAAATCGATAGAGGGCATTTACAGTTTCTCGTGCTCGTCAGTTACTTCAAGACGATTAGATACGGGGTACAGGGGGTAATTAACCGAGAGAACATTACATCTATACTAACTACCCTTCGTGACCATTGCCTTAGCCTTGTCCATCCTCTGTACTTGGTTTTATGTCGGCTGGAATAACCCATTGTCAGGAATGTCAAGGAAGCTTTGATCACTTCTCAGATTTGCCTAATCCAAGGCTTTGAATAATGTCTGATTTCGGCGGATGCAGAGCATTCCTGTGAACATAATAGTAAATCATGTCTGAAAGTTTTGTCCATCTTTCTGACGATGTTTGTGTGAGTTGTGGTTTGATCCCCGATCGATAGAGGCATCAGACTGTTCGTCTCTTCACGGTAACCCTGTGAGGAGTTTCTGCAGTCCAGCCTTGTATTGTCTGGCACGGGGCAAGCTGAGATGTGACCCCATGAAGTACACAAAGAGACAGATTAACGGATGGAAATAATCGTGATTCTTCTGTGACGTCAACCCATCTGTTTCATCTTACCCTGCTATTGTCTACGTGATGAAAGTAAATAGCTTCCCTATTCAGCTACGTCGTCTCTCACATTATTTTAAACGTAACATTTATGTGGTCAATACTGCGTGGTAGATTATCCAACTGGAAATAGATGATTTGAGTGGTGTGACACTCTGGCAACCTTGTGATGGGGCATACTTTGTAATAGGCCTGTTATTCCGCCAACAGACTTTTACGTGGTAATTTACGTGCGGCCGCATAACATTTACATTGGCTGATATTTAATTTTTTTATTACAAAATTCCGGATGATGCAGATGGAAAAAATAAAATGTGCCGTTTTTCAGCATATATCTCTAGTTTATTGTGTGGTTCCTTACTTTGATAACTACTTGAATGGGCCCAGTGGGAATTCCGGGTTTAAAGTGATCATCGACAACATACGCGTGTCACAAGACGCGACTCGTGGATCGGGTCAGACTCGGTGGCGTACAATTGGTGGCTAGCATGATCGTGATTGTACCCAGGCGACGTTGCTCATGCGATCTATCACTGGCTTGTGTCGTCCAGATCTTGACATATTGCTGAGTGTGGCATTAAACAACCAACAGACAAACTTGACTGGTATTTACGTATGTTGGCAGGTATCACGCGTGACTGATGTAGAGTTAACGTCGTTCAGAACTATATTGTACTTACATCAGCATGCTTCAGTTTAATGTTAGAGGAACGACCGAACCGAAATAGACCATAAGATAAAGATCTTTACCGTTTTGGTGAAACCCAAAGATCATAATTGGAGCGAAGCTGGGATTCGAATCCTCCATCGGCGTATCCTGGCACGTCTAAGGCTCATTTCAGCGAATCAACTTGAGGCGCCTCAGATCAATGGTCCACCTACTCTCCCGAAATGTATGACAGAAAAAAGTTTGTTTAACGCTGTTTTGAACTGTATTTTCTTTATATCATATGATGACAGCTTTGTCATAATCGTCACATTGGGCACATATGGCCCAGTCGTCTAAGGCGCCGCAATTAGCTGTGCAGAGTTGCGTCCCTTTGGCACGCCAGAAACCTATGATTGTGGGTTCGAATCCCGGTTCTCCCCGATTACGTTTCTAGGTTTGTCAGCACTATACCCGTGCTCGTGGGTTTCACCGAAGTGGTACACGTCTGAGACCTGCATCACTTCGGGCTTTCCTCCCACATCAAGCTGACACGCCGGGAATAGCAGCGTTAAACCCAACTCACTCACTCACTCATTGTATACGGATCTGGAGTTGGCTGTATGTGTCATACAAATATAGAGAATTCTTGTATATGGTATGGATGTTAAAATCGCTAAATTACAAACATCTCAAACTTCAGATGCACACTTCAGTCCTTAATTGCAAAGATTGACAACGATGAATAGCCATGTGTAGATATCACAAGCACAGGGATGGTTGTTTTCAAGTTCGGTAAACCTCTCAAACTGGTTCCGTTAGTATTAAGATATCCCCATCGGCACATGGATAATATATGATCAGTACTGTACTGTTTGCGAGTGTCCAACCGTCTGTTTTCTGTATGTGCATGGGTCATGGTTACATATGTACTGATTGTCATCATCCTAAAATCGCTCACATAAAGCATAACTAAAACTAGAACTCCCCTTCACAAATCCATTTAACACAATTATGTACGTGTGTTAAGTTCCGTAGTTGTTTGTGTCAGGGGCTTGGAAAACGGAGAAAAGTACAAACACGTCCCGATTTACAGGGGAGGTGGTGAAATTGGGTTTAACGTTGCGTTCAAGATTATTGCACTTACATAGCGACGTGCATGTACGTGTGTGTTTGTGGCTGCTTGTACTAGTCCGGACTGATGCCGATTTTATAGTGCTAGCCCACTGAGATACCATGCCGCAGTTTAACTTGAATACCCACTCAGACGCAGGATACTGACACCGAGCCGACAAGTCCTTGTTTTAGACCCTTAATGCCGAGCACCAGGCAGGGTAACAAGTACCAACTTTTAACGTCTTTTGGTATGACGTGGCCAGGGATCGAACCTCGGACCTTCCGCTCTCAGGGCGAACGCTCTACCACTAGACCACGGAGGCGGTGCCGATTTACAAGCATGCCACTCTAGTAAATGATAACTTTTATTCTTAATTACATTGGTATATGATGTTAATTCAATTATGGTAGATATGTACATCTTGACAGAGGGGAACACAATGGCTATTTAATACTTGAGAAAGTAAAAGGTGAAATGCGGAAACATAATGCACCTGATTAAAGTCATCATGTAAGTTTAACCCTAGCAGTGTGTATAAAAGGTTAAGCGTCTTTGTACCAAGATATTGTTTTCAAACAATTTTCGCTATAAGCATAACACAATTTCACTGTCCTACAAGTACGTATTGCACAGTGTAGTTTTCTTACTAATATATTCTATTATTTAAATTAACAGGAAGCACTGCACAAGAACAGCACACATTAACCACACAAACGTCACCCATAGCATTTCAGTGTAAACTACTAAATTAACATGTTTCGCGAAGTATACTAATCGTAATAGCTGTCGAACAGCATGGAATTGACAATAATTACACTGAGACAGGTGGAGGTGGATGTACCTTTCTTGAATGGAACAAAATTCTTATGTCCACTTAAAGATTAGCACATTTGACAGAAGTAAACACAGATGACCCATTACATATGTCTGTCAATAACAGCCATTAACAGTGAGCAGTCACCACTGTTTTCCCAAGGGATGTTGAAGGGTCTTCTATGAAGACATACAACATTCACAACTAATTACAATTATATGTACATGTAATATGCAACCTTTTCCACGTTCTACACTTGTTTTGCAGTTTATTGTCAGTAAAATGTTTTCAAACACAATTATGAACATAAAATATACAGTTGTCTTATTGTTAACATATATTTAGCATACGAAAACGATATGCAAACACATTGCTTCAAGCAGTGAATTATTAAATATGCTGTAATCCCTTGGGTGGTGTGATTATTCAGTATTTACAACTTAAGTTAACATGTGTGATAATACAATTGATAATATATTCATATTCATAATTCAATCACAGGAAACAAATGTAACCAAACAGACGAGACATATCCGAAAACCTAAACTCACGAATAGAATTACATTGAAATGACATCAGGTATTCGCGAAACGGACAAGCATGTCCCGTTCAACTCGCAGCACCCGTCTCATGCGATACAGATACAGTTCACCATTGCTTTGTTTGAATAGGTTTTTTGTACATATAAATACTCACCAAAATGCAGTCTACGCTTCAATATTCGAATAAATGTCATAATCTAACATCGAAAATTGATTATTTTACTCTCGTGGGTAACAACAGTTTTTGAGTAAACACATGTGACGCCAACTTAGTAAGAAACAGTTCGACACAATGACCGACGAAAGTACCCACATCAATGTGTAATATATAAAGCAGTAGATATATTGTTGTGACATACACACAGGAACACACGTTTGAACAGTTTCTTGAATTTGTCTAAATTTCTAGGGTATTAAGTCAGCACATTTTTCTACTATTGATATAAAGATGAAACGACAACTACTTTGCAGATTAAACCATTTTTGTTGCTCTAAAACAATGACTTATCGGCAATATGATATGAAAGGAGCAAAGCAATTATCTACAGATTTGCCAGATATATATGCATAAAAATAACATTATTATATACTTACATTGTGTCTATCTGACATGAAGCACCGACAACCTGTTCTGATATCTGATGTACATGATTATTATATGCATAAACAACTACCGGTTTCCGTCATCACAAACATGTAACATTTATACAACTTTAACAGTTTTAACACACGTTTGTTATGTCACATATTTCACAGAGCATGATAGGTGCAGTGACTGCCACACCACTGGTACAGTACAGTTCATAATGCATTTCCATCAAAGGTCAAACAGAAAGTAATCTTCGACACAAGTGTTTGTCCTCCTGACACATGTACACGGCGCACATGACACAATGAGCGTCTTGTTATAGGTCTACACATCGTAGTCGTGGAACAAACGACGTTTCGGTGTATTCTGGTGCTGGTTCCAAGTAATGCACGTAGCTCTACAATATTGTCACATGCTTGATACATATTTGTACAGTCCTGGACACATATCAGCAAACACGTCGTTCTGTTGGTGGTGAAGCAGTAAACACGGAGCAGGATATTGGTTGTTCAAATAGGTGCTGGAAGTCGATCAGGTTGAACCGTTTAGCGATATGTTATCGTATATTTAAATGAAAGGTTCACAAGTTAAATTTAAAAATATGAATAGCTGTTCTGTACTGCTTGTGCAGCGTGAGAACCGTTCGTCTCTTTGACGGCCGAACTTGCATCATGCATGAAGTATGAATGATCCACAGCTGACACATCATCAAACACTTTGTTTTGGGGTGAGGTTACAGACATTTGAATGAGCTGTTGTCGGTTTTGTTCCTGTGAGATGCCGATTTAATGTACGACCCTGTCTTAGACGATGATGTTATGTCGTGTCTTGTTCAACGTGTTCGCACTATTTTTTAGTTGTTACGCCTTCGGAGACATGCACTATCCTTTGTAATGCGAAAGTCACATGAACGAATGATTTCATTTTGATAACACATTCGGTTGAGCGATAGCGTCTTTCTTCCATTATGCATCATTTCGTTAGCATTGACAGATGTGTGTAATCAAATACATTTCAATGAAACATCATGAAACAACGACTCCCATGTGGTACAAAAATGTCAAGATGTTGGTTATCACAAGGAATGAAATAAAGAACTGGCAGCAGGATCCAGCATTTTTCGACGCCAAGGTATGACCGGAAGTGCCTGAAACAGTCAGAATGGTTAGCTTTAGCCTGGTTTCCTACGATCAGATGTGGATGGGTTTTCCGGATGTCGAACATGCAATCACGTTAACCCCCAAACCAAACTTAGGAGAATTTTTAACACCCCACTGACTCTGACCACCCAATCCTCTTAAAGTCAATCGTCGCCGAGGATACAAGGTTATTGCTATTTTAGCATCGTCGTCGTCCCGTAAAATGGACCTTAGAGTATATCTGTTCTTGGACATCTTTATGGCTTAAATATAGTCATCATTCACCAAAACAATTGCATGATTACTAACGATCAAAGAGGAGCCTCGATGAATTAACATAAACCATAATACTATGCAGGTGATTATATGAATAATTATTAAATACTTAGTAACATCAAAAAGTAACCATTTATGCTAATAACTATCGACAAATTATTCTTTGATCGACAAAGAAAATATGTATCCACGTCTTCGGTTTCACAAAAAGTAAACCAACAAAGACACAAGCCAATATCTCCAGGCACGACTATCCCAGATACAAGTTTTTGTTTCAAAAGACAAGAGGTTCACTAACATGATCTGTGGATTCTTTAACAAATACATCAGAGTGAGCAGATGTTAATAATAATTCTACTTGAATCGGACTTCTTGCAACAATGATTGGACAAAGCGAATTTGAAACTTGAAAGAGATTTTGAAGGTACAAAAAAGAAACCAAATTTTATGACCGCTTCTTTTAAGATTACAGTTGCAGTTCGATATCTTTAGGTTAATTTGAAGGAGTTCCCTCTGGGAATAAACCTTGGCCATATGTTCTACGACTGGAAAATTATCACACGGACGACTCTTTCACGAAATAGCGAAATTGCAATAAAGTGTACAGACTAGTCTAGGGCTACCAGCTACTGCTAGGCATGGAACTACGTGACGGCTGATAGTTTGGGACAAGACAACAGCAAAACACCTACAAACAGGCAGGAAACTGCCCGTGCACAAGCCGTTGGAGACACTGCTGTGTTGCTGGGGTATAAGGGGGTCTGAATGCTGATTACCCGTGGGTATTTGGTCTGTCTGGATCTGCGTGGGTCGAGGAAGGCTATCGGGCTGAATGATGACAGTATTCCCTGGGTTGGAGTCAACCTCAGGGGGGTAGGTTCTCGTGAACTTCCAGCTGACCGTTGTAACCTCTGACATCGAGGGTGTGGTTGACGGTGTCAGTGTTGTAGTGGGCTTCTTGGGATCTAGATACTCTGAAACATACAAATCCGCCTATGTATCTGTATGTTACCAACTCTTGTAAGCCATCCACCGTCGGGTTACACATATTTCTGTTTCTGAGAGTGAGAGAAGTTGGTATTACGCTGTTAACATCATTGTGTCACACATAAAGTTCCTGAGGAGAAAGAAACCCAAACTTTTAAACCACTGACCTACCTCAAAACCCCACAAGACAGAAAAAGGATGTACTGACATGTATTGATAAGTCTAAGTCAATAATGATTTTGAGGATATGTCCAAATGGCTTCACAGATGTACAACAACACAATAAACTGTTTTGAGAAGTGTAACTAAACATTAATTTGAGGCAAGTTTAATAACATATATAAGATAAGCCTATAGAGTCCCTCCGCCAGTGCGCCCTATATCTAATAAAATGTCAACAACATTATACATAAAATGACGACAGTTATTTTACCTTTGAGAAAATGTGACTGGTGCGAGCTGTGGGCAGGATACGCTCACATTTTCGCTAACATCTTTTATCATCACCTTTTCACGGTGATTCATAAAACACATGCTCATGATACAATCTAAATCGTACAATGGTCGATCGTACAAATATATTTTCTATATGGAAAGGGTTTTGTCGTTTTTATTCATCATGCATGTTGAAAAACGTTTTTGAGAACAAGGTTTGGTTTTTTGCTTACATGCTGTACTCACAGTATGAAAACTACAGGATATTTCATTGATAAAGTATAAAGCTATTTCAATTTTAAACATTCTATTTCTAAGGCTCACCCATAAAGACGCATGAATACTCGGTTTGTTTAGAATTTGTAAATTGAATTCCTCGCATACCCTACATTGTGAATGCGTTTCACACAAATCACGTATGTAGGAGATAGACAATATGGAACTGAAATTAAATCGGCCCCACTTCGTTTCCATTTCTGAAATAACATTTTCATGCAGTATTAAGTAAGATCTGGTCAGGTGACATGTGTCAACATCGGATATTCTAGAATAAGCAAATGTCAATACATTTAATACATACTATTCTCATAGCAACGAAATCTGATGCGAGTCGTGTTTTGCATTCATGTTTCAGCTTACAAGTCTTTCCTTACTTACCATATAAGTTCATTCTTTCTTCATCTTGCCCGAGTCTATTCGATGCTTTGCAGGTGTAGTCTCCGAAATCCCTGTAATCCAAGTCCCGTATCCTTAAACTGAGGATAATCGTGTGATCTTCCTCGGCATATATTTCCACACGATATTTGAAACTATTAGTTATCTGCACACCTTCTCTAGTCCATATAGTTATCTCCTGTGGGAATGCTGTTACTATACATTCCAGGATCGTCTCCTTGCGCAGCGCTTGGCCAATTCTTTTGTTGGGTAATCTGATTTCAGGGGGAACTGAAAATATGTTCAAATAGGATTTGACCATTACTACAAATCTATGTTTCGCTGCTCTAGGTATAAAGTCAATCATGAAACTGGCTTTGTGTGAGTGATTTGTGACTGAGCAATAATAAAACTATATCAGACCGACATGTACATTAAGGAGCCTTGGCTAGACAAACGAGTGGTTGATAGTACGAGCAACAAGTCACGAAGTTAAGGGATGTTTGCTCCAGCCTGGGCTAGGCGCCTTGTACGAAATATTGAGTCAAGTGCTACGACTGGTATTGGAAAGAAATACAGGTCAAGAAGAGGGTTGGTTTTCCCTATATGGTCACTCATCGAAGTACTGTTGCTATTCAACAGATATTACATTGTGAATCTATTTCCATATTAATCTCTCTTACTACATACATTTGGTTCTAACTGGTGTCCACAGTAATTACGGCTTGAAATGAAGCCTTAGTAGAAAGGAAACGCTATACATGTACGTTACTAATGCATTGTTGTCCAGTTCTGATATTACTGAAAAAGCGATAAAAGGAAAATATAAATTGTCAGTGCAGGATAATAACTAGTCTAGAATATTCCATTTGGCGTAAAGTGCAACATAGCCGTGAAAGTTATATTAATGGACCAGTGAAAATCAGTTATGACACCAGGTGTTCGCGAAAAGGTTGAGCACGACAGTCAAACCATTCTAAGTATATTCACATATTCTCCCAAGGTGAAATTGAATGCACAACTTATCATAGCGAATCGCGCGTGCAGTTGTTACTGCTAGGGCTGACATAGTAAAGTAAGGAATGTGCCATCCATGCATATTCTTGAAACTGCTTTGGAGAGGTTTAACGTTATTCCCACCATACGTTACGCTGACAGATCGCTGTGTGGTCATGCATGAGTTTAATTAATTAACACTTTTATATTTTGAAAGCATTATCGAGTCACCTGGACTAACACCAACAAAGTGCAATTAACACCAAAAAGTAACGCGCCTTACGTTTTCGCAGGTTAGGTAACTTCTCGATAGCAAGCTGCACGTGGAAGTATAATTGCCTAGCGCAAAAAGACGTTCAGCAAGTTCGCGGAATAAAGGGCACTAACTAGGTTTCCCATCTCGTTGGCAAGAACGGGCATTCAATGGCTCTTGAAAACAGCTGTCACACACCATCTTTGTGGGAAATCATAAAAAATACGACCAAGCTATCCAGCGGCATGGAAAGTATGAAGTAAAGAAGTTCATAGTTTAGCGAAAATTTCTTCAAGAGCCACCTGATCAACATGACTGATTCCATTACAATTTTTGCTCTCTCGAAAATCCTGCATGTCTTATGAATCATAACAAGATAAGGTGATGGAAATTAAGAGCGTTTCCATTGATTATTCACAACAGAGAAATTTAAGGTAAGTTTTGCTCCCGAACATGTGCACATTGTCTCTTAAAAGTTTCTAATACTTTGTGAGTTTTACCTTAACTTCATGCATATTATCATGCTACTCATTGTCACATTAGCCACATGTGAATTCCGGATCACGATAGGTCCCCAGTACGCCATGCTTACTGTAAGAGCCGTCTAATATTGTTATGGTGTTTGAAATGTGTAACCTGGATGGTTGTTTGCCATCATTCCCGGGTAATGTGTAGTGTTGATGATGCTACCAACATCTAAGTTGCAAATCGTCGTCACGGCATTCTTGTAATTTTGTTGAATGTGGTGTAAAGCAACATTCACTCACTAACTCATTATTTCTACAACACTACATACATACGTATTGATCATGCTCACATTTAAGTTCAACTTTGTATGAGCAGCTAATGCATAGATTTGTGACCCGTGAAGATCCGGGTTAGAATTGGTTTTCAGCAATCCATGCTTGTTGTAAGAGGCGCCTAATGGGATCGGGTGGTCAGGCTCGCTGACTTGGTTGATGCATGTCATCGTATCCCAGATGCGTGGATCGATCGATATCAGTCACTGGTTTGTATGGTCCAGACTCGATTATTGACAGACCGCCGACAAAAAGCTGGAATATTGCTGAGTGCGGCGTTAAGCAACAAACAAACAATACACAAATCAAACAGCATTAATTTCCCTTCATTCTAATCCCTGAAATCAATAAACATAAAATGAACGAATTGTCTGGGACTATTTGTAATCAGTTATTATAGCTGCATATGCATATGCCGAATGAAATGGGTGTTTTAGAATGGTGCCTCCAACGGTGAATTGTTTATATGCATAAGTTATACAAATTAAATCAAATCAATGAAATACAAATTTGAACCCTGCTACGAATTGCATTCTCTTCTTTTATCGCACAATATATGAAATTCACATGAGCCTGGTAAAGTAAGAAACAAAAGTGTCAACCGCTTTCAAGCAAATGCCGTTAAAGGTGACCGTCCAGTCATTTCACAAACGATTGGGGTGCAGACTTTGTGGTACAATAACAGACGGCACTGTACAATGTTTACTGAAATACAATCTCATTAAAATCAGATCCTAGTTTTCGCTACCGTTAAACAAAGATCTGAGGACATCCCATGACAGGATAGACTGAAATAAATCCTTGTTTTGAGGCATACGCCTGATCCTGATGTTGTAGTGCTGACGTGTACTGAGAATTGTGTATTTTGGGCCATGTGTTACTGAAGGACTTCCAGTTTTTTAGTACGGCTCGGAGACTATCTTTAATTCTGATCTAGATGCTTCTGACCAAACAACGACTGATGATTCTCCTGTTGATCTTCTCAACGAAATGTGGCAAGTGCTGTGAGTTCTTGGGAACTCTTCGGGATTATTTGTGAATACGTTTGCAATTTCTGTAAGTCTCCATGTGTATCTCTAGTTAACTAGAGTCATAAACTGTGTCGCTGAATCTTCGACCAGCACAGGGCTATCAATTATGATCCTTTATTGAGTAATTTTACCGTCGAAGATCAAACTGCCGCAGCGGTTATCTCGAAGATCTCCAGACTGGTTTTCTCGACCACGGAATCACATTAGTCCGTTGTCCATGTACTAAACTACGACAATGCTTCATCACGTTTGATATACGCCCAGCATGTAATATCCGCTCGCTTGTTTTTCATCTTTTCAGAAACACATGTGGCTAAAATGACAGATCGTCTGACATAAAAGGGCTATGATTTATACACTAAAGAGATTGAAGTTTTAGTAAATTATATATTACACATATACCTGCCAGTTATAAGTTAAAAGCACGCTCAAAAAAATCAATACTACCATTACGACACCTGAGCAAAACTACTTACATTCCACTGCTACGTTGATGTGGCGATTTACGGCAGGGGGGACGCCATTGAACGCTACACATTCGTAGGTGCCGCCACAGTATCGACTGACGTTATGGATGATGAGCACTTCTCCGCTTACGCCGATTCCTGAAACATCGGAAAATAACTCACATCTCAGCGTTTGAAGTTTATGGATTAAAAGATTCGTAAAGCCTTTCCGGAATAATAGGCTCTCGGTTCACATGTGCAAAATAAATTATGGTATTTAAATAAAAATGTTTCACACAAAACGATCTATATAGAATACATCCAATTATAACTTTGAAGTTTCTTTTCGTAAAAGTTTCAGCGTATATGACTTAGAACTAGTTTCAGAAGTTGGAAATAATTTACAAGGAAATTCAAGGCTGGGAGGCTCAGCAAAATATTTCAACATGCTAGTGTGCAATAGTATCAAAGCCCTGAACATTCTGACATAACCACAAAACAAAAATTATTCAGGGGCTATATTTTAACTTACATAATTATAATGGAGATATATTAAATTGTCCTTAATCCCTTAATGCCATATTCTGCACTGCACTACTTACTAAGCCTAAACATAAAAAGTGCCGATGTTTGCCGAAAACTCAGTTGTCCATTGCCATATCGAATATTGAACAACAGTTAAACTAAAACCCCTTAACTCGGAAATTCTACCTCCATCTACGAAATTGTGAAAAGAATGTTCATTGCTCATTATAATTGCTATTACCATTATTGTATTGTTTGTCTAAATTCCGAATTCTTGCATATTGATGCCATCGACATTTTTTATGTATAGAAATGTAACTTGATATGGATGCAGAAATAATAAAATGACTTGATGAGAAAACGCAACGCAAGATATCTTACTATTAGTGCCAGGGCAGAACTCACTCTCTTTCTCAACGTCATCTTTCTCTAACGACTTGTGACGGTGCCACGTGACCGTTGGCATAGGGATACCTGTCACGTTACATACCAACGTCACTGTATCTCCCTCCCGGGCCGTGACGTCATCGGAAGACAACTTGTTAATAATTTCGGCTGGTACTGAAATTAGAATGATACGAGTTACAGACTACAGACCTACGAGCATAGGTGCCTGAAAATGGCATCGACATACCACATGCAGGTGATGTTCAAAAAGCACCTAGTAGTAGATAAATAAAATAAGTAAAATGTGCAATGGATCTAGGTACTGATGAGCCATTGTAAAGTAATTATTAAAAGTAACAGCTTTGGAATCTGTTTAGGTGACAAACAACTGAGGTGTATAGAAACATACACCAGGAAAATATCAGCACCTCTTCCTAATATATTTCCGTAAGAGACAGCCACTTTTTAAAAATCGATTCCATTATTAATTCTTTTATATGAAAGACACTTGTTTCGAATTAAAATACTCAGATTGAAATATAGATACCGAAAGCGATTATCTAATGGCAAGATTTGTTACTGTTTCCTTGCCAATAGTTATTTCTTGTTGAGTACTTGCGACCATCTGGAGAAACATGCAAAGTTCTTGTACAAACATCATGTATCTGTGGTATCTCAGATTAATGAACATGTACATACATGTGTAGATACATAGAGACTCGGGTTATGACAATAAAGTAGTGGGTGGTGTTTAACTTGTTTTCCAGGTGTATAATATAAGCGCATAAGGACCATTCATATTTAAAATTGTTCATAAAACTTTTAAACAATTGGCAATATTGTATTGTAAATATACTTGACGTTAAGATTCTTCTTCTGTATCAAAAATGTGACTGTGCTGGCCTTGGGAAAACATTATATTTTGTACAGCTATTATGTGTACCGTGCTTTCATTTTCAAGCGAAAAAAGCTGTTTTCGTGTAGTGACAAGAAAATGAACAGACGATGTGACTCTAAATACCACCGTTGTGAGGCACGGAACCCTCGACAGTATTTAAGCTGAACTTAATTCCTACTACTGCCACATGAAAACATAACCGTTATAAATCCAAAATATTGATTGTCGGTGTTTTCTGTGTATACCCATAGTGGAATTGACACATGGTCGGTGATGATTAGCAATTAAAACTGATTGACACCACTCGCGCCCTCTCAAAATGTCCAGAGTGCAAGGTAATCACCAACCTAGGGTTAACCCTAACGGACAGGGAAGCCTACACAAGACTCAAATGTAAATGACAAGTTAATGAAATTGGCTTGGAATGGCAACCTTCTCCCCATCAGCTATTCATAGGCCACAGTAGTCAAAATAAATTTTCGTTGATCGGCTCGAATTTGTACAATGACTATGCTTGAGGGTCGTGCTTCATTAATCCCGTCTCGTTGAATCTGTAAGTATGGAATAATAGTGACTGGAATTAACTTACAACTTCTCAGATCTGAATGAGATTCTTCCCTGGGATGTGTATACTGATGCATGTGGATGGACAAGTATGTTCAGGGATAGAGTGTATACATTGATTGCAAGCACTGGTATCCTTTCGTATCCTTTGTCAACACTTAAATACCCTTGAACAGCTCAAAGGAAACTAATAACCTCACTCTAAATGACTAGACAACACGGCATTAACGTTATCAAATTCGGAGAAGACAAGACGGGCGACATATCCTGCGATCAGCTTTGCATGACATGCTCTATCAATCTTCGACAGTCTTGAAGTCTTTAAGAAATGTCATCCGTCACGCGCGCTTAATGTAGTGAGTGTGTCATGTTGATAAGCTTTGTACTGAAGTCGATTTGGCTTTTACTGCTTATATGCTTACGTTCCATGGCGCCTCTGCTGGCCGTTCAGAGTTGCATACCTTAGCTGTGTCAGGATTATTTTATCTTTGCTTCAGAATTTCATATTCGCCTGTATTATTCCTAGGCTGTCGGTCCTATAAAGTTAGGCGTTTGTTTCACCAAAGTGAAACGTCTACAATCTGTGTCACTTTGGGTTCCTCTCCCGCCCACTGCACACACAGAGACACACCACATGCACACACTATTAAGCTTACACACTGTGATATATGATGATATTTAGTCCGGAGTGGTGTTCCCCAAACTTTTAACCCACTTACTCACGTGGTTGTTGAAGCCTTCACCTCAACCATCGCCTCAGTGCATGTACAATAAAAGTCTAACCAGGATCTGAAAGCTTTTCCAATCACCTACTATTCAGAGTAGGTCGGGACACTTGACAGTGGGTACTGCGTCTGGGTACAGCAGGAAATACATTTCAGTCACTGCACTTCGTGTGACATGTTACCACTTAAGACCTTAAACGCTTTTCGAGAACTACTTCTGAATAGAGTTACCGCCCAGCACCATAGACAATATTGGATAATTTACAATGACTATCAGTGAGTGAGTGATTGTGGTTTTACGCCGCTTTTAGCAATTTTCAAGCAATATCAAGGCGGGGACACCAGAAATGGGTTTCACACATTGTGCCCCTGTAGGGAATCGAACCCGGGTCTTCAGCGTGACGAGCCAACGCTTTAACCACTAATATACCCCACCGCCCCTACAATGACTATCAGGTCACTCTCACCTACTGCGTTTATGATAAACTGTTGAAGTTTTGCGAAAAGCATATCAATCCCAAATGGACAAAGTCAACTATATGATATGCCACTCAGGCATATCAGTTGTTATCTCCATATCACATGTGACCTTCTCAAATAGTAAATAGGTAAATAGTAAATGTTTTAATGCTCTCTGTGACATTCGAAGGGGTTTGTTTTATTTCATCAGCATCACATGTAAAGTGTAACGGCCAGACCCTTCTGTGCCATTTCAGAACAGAGGACGTCTGTCCTATATAATCGTTTTTAACATAATAAACATGAGAAACTCGTATTGCTTATATGAAAAAACAAATTGTAAAGTGTGTATATAGTATAAACGCATGTAAATCCCATCTGCTTTCCATATTCTGTTTATCGTTTTTTGGTAATTGGGTGAGAATAAACAATCTGTTTGACTGTCTGTCTTCCTATTGCAAAAGAATGAATTAATGGGCATACCACAATGTATCTGTTGAAAAGAAAGGATAATAACGACTTATCGAATCAAACATGCAAAGTATCCATTGCAATTTAGAGGTATGCATTTTAACAGTTCATACCATAAGCTTTGCGTCCCGTGGCTGTGTCATGATCGTTGGTTCGAATTCAAGCATGATTCCGACCGTGACGCTTGGTTTGGAATGAACTATACCGTTGCGTGTTGGTTTCACAAATGTAGTAAATGTGTGCGACCTGCGTCACTGTGTGCTTCACTTCTTCAACAAATCGACGTTAGTGGAAAGTAACTCGAACTCACTCATAGTATTTCAGGGGACAATGGTGGCCCAGTCGTCTAAAGCGCCCCATTTCCCAATTGCAGAGTTGCGTCTCTTGGGTAGACCAAAAACCTATGACTGTGGGGTCGAATCCCGTTTCGCTCAGAATATATTTTTAGGATTGTCAGCACCATACCCATGCTCGCAGGTTTCAACGAAGCGGTAAACGGCTGAAACCTGCATCACTTCGTGTTTCCTCCCACGCAAAGCTGCCACGCCATGATATAACTGAAATAATGTAATAGTTTAAATCGGCGTTAAACCCAACTCAGTCCCTCACTCATAATACAACAAAAAAAGGAACGTTCGCGAAGGAATGATCTCTTGCCCAAGGACCAATCAGTCCCTGGCTGCAGCGCCCACTACTAACTTCATTACGTACGTCGTTTTTGTCAAGAGCTGTTCACACTCCCATGCTATCAATAGAAGGTCGAGATTAAATCTGCTGTCGTGTTACTAAACATCAGTTTAATTATTGATAAGAACCCTAATTGAATCTTGCACGTACACGACATCAACAAAGAAAGTGATCAACGCCCGGTCAGTACTTACAATTCTGAACTGGGGACACTGTCATGCCACAGAGGCGAGCAAGTCGACCCTTCATGGGTGCAGGTCAAATAGTCAAAATGACTAAGCTACCGCCCTTGATGTTGTTTGTTTGTTGTTTAACGCCGCACTCAGCAATATTCCAGCCATATGATTGCGGCCTGTAAATAATCGAGTCTGGACCAGACAATCCAGTGACTGACATCATGAGCATCGATCCAAGCAATTGCATCAACAAAGTCAGCGAGCCGGACCACCCGATCCAGTTGGTCGCCTCTTACGCCAAGCACATTATATATAGTCGCCTTTTATGGCAAGCATGGGTTGCTGAAGACCTATTCTACCCCGGATTATCACGGGTCTTCCCTTGATGTGAAGTTCACTACAGAAATCATATGTCCTTATAAAATCCAGATTATGAGGAAATTTTCATTATTTTGATTTATCAATAATGACTTTCATATAGTTACGAATGTGTGAAAGTGCGAAGCTGTCCGTATTCCCTTTTGTTCCAGTTATGTTAGATTACCCAAAGACTGGGATATTTAAAGTCAGGTAACGGTTATCGATAGAGTCGAATATCTGTCTGACTAAACATGACAAATATTTCCTATAACACATACCCTGGGGTTTCACCTTTTATGTAATATTCAAGTGAGCTTGTGATTAGGATGTTGCAGTTAGAAATCGTTATAAAAGTTGGCTATCAACTACATACAGTAAACTACGTTTATAACGAACACGCTTATAACGAACTGGCGGATATAACGAACTGTTTTTGGTCCCGGCCATTTGCTGTATATATGCTGCATATATGCTATATATATGCTTATAACGAACTACGGTTATAACGAACTAAAATTTGTTGTCCCTTTGAGTTCGTTATAACCGTAGTTTACTGTACATACATTTTCATATGAATGACAATTAGACTATATCCCTTTTATTACTTACACCGTATTCATACTTAGTTATACCCTATTCCAACTCCAAATGTAGAGGTTAGGCTAAAATGTATTAACATATGCCTATATTCACCAACAGTTTCGCTTATGGTGTGACTGGAGCTTGTCTCTGACCCAAACTGATTTACTTTGGAAATGAAACTTCACAATGGACAGATGTTGAAGGTAACTGTACTTTTTTCAATAGATAAAACTTTTTTTGTGAGCTTGATTTAGTCGCCACTGGAAAGTAGAAAGAAATAAGGCTAGACATTGTAAGCTTTACAAATTAACCTTTCAGCAGGTCAAACACATCATCATTATTCAGTCATCCTTTATATAGGAAATAAAATGAATTGTTTTTTACCATTCGACAGTATACATGACACGGGTTTTAACACATGCAGATGTATTTCCATGGTAATTTATCAAAATCCGAAATACTAACCAAAGCATGATTCTAGAGGGTTGTTTCAAGGTTTGGTGGGAAGATGTGAGGTGAGTGAAATGGGCTTCAGCGTCGTGTCCAAGATTAGTTTACTGATACAGCGAAATGTGTGCGTATGCGTGTGTGTGTGCTTGCGTGCGTGCGTACGAGCATGTGTGTGTGTGTGTGTGTGTGTGTGTGTGTGTGTGTGTGTGTGTGTGTGTGTGTGTGTGTGTGTGTGTGTGTGTTCGTGTGTGTCGGCTGCGTGTACTTTTCCGGATTATTGCTGGCGTTATAGTGCTAGCCCACTGAAAAACTGAAATACCGGAAGAGCCGACCAGTCCTTGTTTTATCCAATTAATACTGAGCACCAGGCAGGGTAGCAACAAACACCAACTTTTAATGTTTTTTTGTATGACGCGGCCAAGGATCGAACCATCGATCTTCCACTCACCGGAGTTTATATAAGCATGTACCGTGAAGTACAACATATCACTTCATCTCACCTTGTACTTTAAGATTCACAGTCTTAATTTTCACTGGACTTGTATTGACCTGACAGTTGTAAATCCCCTGATCGTTGTGTCTCACAGTTCTGATATGCAAATTCCAGTCTGTAGTATAGGGCCTCTCTACGCTTAAACGTTCATCGTCAATGATCCTTCGATCTTCAAAGGTCAGAAGCGTTGACCACTGGTCAGTCCACACAACCTGAAATGACATAAGAAAACTCAATCCATAGTTACAGAATCAATGCCTGATAAAGATGATAAATATCCTTCAAGGCGTTGTTTTTGTATAGATGTTTCTCAGTTGATATTGGAAAAAAATCGTTTTGTGTTTTAGGTTACCTTCGGGGTTGTATGTATCAAAGAGATCAGTTGTTTGTCGAACGATGGATATTAGTTTTCGTCAGGTCATCTTAACCAACGCACAACATAATGTCTTGATTTCTTGATTATATAGAGGAGAGGGAGAGGGAGTGCTGTATATTTATGAAATAGTGCGTGTGTGAACGTTTGAGTTATACAATCGATCGTTCAAATTGGAAAAAAGGCGACATCCACTGTACGATTCCGACTTTTTCATCAGCATGTGTTTTATGAATCACTGATAGTGATGACACCAGGTATTCTCAAAAAACGGGTTATCGTATCAAGCCCCACCGCTGGCACTAGTCATTCACGACTTGTACATTATGTGAGGCACCGATATGGGTCATCCTGCAAACCGTTTAAACAGTGTTTCACCCCCACTTTTTATTCAGACCATTCCTAATATCGACATCCAGCGTCCACGTTTATTCTTTAATGTAAGACCCGAGACCAGATTGATATATTTCATCATTTACTGGAACACATTATTTTTTTCCACTGAAAATCTTTCCCCCCTTCTCGAATATTAAATTGTTAACCCTAACTATACTACGTTCAAATTCAGCGGTTTATGGCGCCTTGTATGAACGTTACTGAGGCAACTAAACTAATGTTCATTTCCCGAAGACGCCAGCCACTCTCGGACAACCTTGGAAACAGCACATGTACATGTTCTTCAGAGCAATATCGAACGTCACTACAGAAAATAATCCATAGATACAAGTATCAGTCCCAACTTCGGGTATAGCCTGCATAAAGTTTCAGCAAAGATTCTTCTTTGAAGACTCTTCAGCAAGCATATATAAAGAAGGTGGGGTGAGGTGAAATGGGGTTTAACGTCGCGTCCAAGATTATTGCAGTTATATAGCGACGTGCATGTACGTGTGTGTGTTTGTGTGGCTGCTTGTACTAGTCCGGACTGATGCCGATTTATTGTGCTAGCTCACTGAAATACCATGACGCAGTTTAACATGAATATCCCACTCAGACACAGTACACTGACTCCGAGCCGACCAGTCCTTGTTTTAGCCCCTTAATGCCGAGCGCCATACAGGGTAACAACAAGTACCATCTTTTAACGTCTTTTGGTATGACGCGACCGGGGATCGAACCCCGGACCTTCCGCTGTCCGGGCGGACGCTCTACCAGTAGACCACGGAGGCGGTCCAAGCATAAAGATGGACAGAGGTTAGAGTAGCTTGATCTTCACCTTGCAGGCGGACAGTGTGCTGCAAAATTTGGTGTGCAGCAAAACACATAAAGGTGAGTGATGCGGTAAGTGACCAGTCGACCCCCAATTATGAATGTGGGACTCGAGGCAAAAGAGATTATGCTTACGTGTACATGTATGAAGAGAAAAGAAACGTGACCGGTCACTGTGCACTTTACGAGACCCAAATGTCAACGTCGCCATAGAAGATACCGTCTTGATCTCATATCTCCTACGAGCCTCTCTTAACAGAAAAGGTGCTTTGTTGACACAGCATTGCACCTGCGGTTCCAACTTGATTGCTTTCCGTTACCCATGAGTCCTTGCTTGGCGCCAAACTCTAATTTCACAGGCGGTGACCTTTATTCCATAAGACGGTCATACGGTCTAACGTGCGAACGTTAATAAGAGGTAGGTCTCTCTGGATAGAATGCTATGGGGCACGTCACCGCTAGATCCTGATTTACCCGTTCTCGTGGAGTTCCATATTTACGCTTATCAAAATTAAATGCGTTGTTTCGCAAAATGTTTAGTGTAGGTGTGCCTGTTTTAATAACTGTCAACATAATATGGCTGACGGTGGCCCTATTTCCCACAAATTATAGAATTTTCTGGCGTGAGCCACTGTCGAATAATGAACATCAACAAACAGAATCCTTAAAGGGACTCAGGGCGAATTTAAGTGCAGTTCTAGACGTTGTAATAACAGTTCCGTGTGGGATATTGACATTCCAGGACGTTCCAGTTATTCCACAATACAAATACGTGGGGTCACGGGGTCCCCAGCTGTCAAATGAGCCGGAAGTCTCACGTTTCTTAGACGTGGCAGCAGCTTCGAAACCGAGATTCGTAATGATTATGACCCTTGGTTTATCAGCATCGTGGTAAGTGGTTATCTATCTACGATCGGCGTCACATTGGTTGTTCCTCCAACAATGGGGGCGGTCGGGTAGCCTAGTGGTTAAAGCGTTCGCTCGTCACGCCGAAGACCCGGGTTCGAATCCTGACATGGGTACAATGTGTGAAGCCCATTTCTGGTGTCCCCCGCCGTGATATTGCTGGAATATTGCTAAAAGCGGCGTAAAACCATACTCACTCACTCCTCCAACAATGAACTGAGACTATTTGCTATATACTTATCAACGAGGCGAAAACCCATCTAACTCAAACACTGGTGGCGACGTTCTAACTAAAATATAATCACAATTGCTACATGAAATCAATCTAATAAAACGTAAGACATACCTGATGTTGACCCAGAAATTTTACAGAACAAGGCAAAATGGCAGTAGTACCCTGCTTGACGGTGACGTTCACCATGGGAACGTCAAAGCTTGGCTCAAAGGTCACGGCGTCTGTAAAAAGGAACATATGAAGCGATGTAACACATGTTGAAACATTTTTGTTGTTGTTTCACAGCTGTCCTAATCTCCTGTTGTAAATTTCAATTACATTGGACTAACCTTTTCAATATTCAGTATGAAATTGCTGATTGAATTGTATAACGACTGTGATCATAAATAGAATTAGATAATAAAGAATAACGTAATGATCTGTTTTAGATTAGAGTCGTTGGTTGCAATAATACATGTCAGTTATATTGAGGTATAAATACATTTGTGGACGATTATGCGAATATCGAAATAAAGCTTGATGAAAAAACTGGCATGTTTATTCAAGACAATTTCCAAGCATATTTAAAGAGGGGAAGTTCAGATTTTGCACATTGCAGTGGTTTGACAATCGCATGCAAGTGAAAGGCGGAACAATTCCTTTTCAAATTTCAGTGTTTCGATCAGTGAGATATGGCTGCCAAATATATCGATTTACAACCCGCTAACTTATTACTTATTATTGGAAAGCGGTTTTGAAAATAAACAGTATTAAGTTTATATAGCATCATTTGCACGATAAAGTTGCTCTGATCACTTTGCTTATTTGTGTTTTGCAATGAGAACTCTTTATTTCTTTATAATGTTAAAACGTTTGATATTTTCTCTGAGCTCATGTTAATAGTTTATAAACGGATGGTAAAAAAAATAAAAAATAAAATATACTTATTATAGATTTTCCCCTCACTGACCTTTATTATAGTCATATATATTTTTTCGAATATTCTTTTGTCAAAGTAGGTGCTAAATAGTATAAGCTATTCGTGATGATAAAGTGTCCATAAATAGAAGACACATGACTTTTCTCGCCTAGCTTGTTGTCTAAACCTTGATCGCGGTGTACCTCTAACACTACATCCACTCAGCATAACGCCACAGATAAGAATATTAATGAATGATGATGATAATACATAGTGACGTTCCAATTTTGTAAATAATTGTTAAGTCATGACTGGTGAGGTAGGATCAAATTACCAACCGCATTTACTGAAGGACAAGGGAACTATTGTCATCTGAGCAATGATCTATGTGGCGAACACAAGGAAATCCGACGTTTCTGTTCAGGAGAGGGGCAGTCGGGTAGCCTAGTGTTTAAAGCGTTCGCATGTCACGCCGAAGACCCGGGTTCGATTCCCGACATGGATACAATGTGTAAAGCCCATTTCTGGTATCCCCCGCCGTGATATTGCTGGAATATTGCTAAAAAAGTGGCGTAAACCCATATTCACTCACTGTTAAGGAGAAGCAAGGGGCAGTGGGGTAGCCTAGAGGTTAAAGAGTTCGCTCGTCACGCCGTAGACCGGGTTCGATTCCCGACATGGATACAATGTGTGAAGCCCATTTCTGGTGTCCCCCGCCGTGATATTGCTGGAATATTGCTAAAAGCGGCGTAAAACCATACTCACGTTAAGCGTTGAGCGTTAAGTAGGGGGAGGGTCGACTTCGTCAACACCAGAGATACTCAGTCTCGAATAACAGATACCTAATAACGTAGAAAGTTAAACAGTGAAGGAAATAAGTGTAAATGAATCACTGAAATACAGTGATGACACCAGGTATGACGTTTTTAGAATAATCGTAGTTATAGTTAACAACATTTTCTGAACGGTATGCAAAAGGTTGTTACATGTATGAGACTCAATGTGTTTTAGACCCATACGGATAACACAAGGAATCCCAAAGTGTCTGTTGTGAAGCATGTGAAACGTTGAGCCATCACATTGAACGAGGGTAGAAGGGAGGGGCAGTATGCAGGCATTCCACTGCGCTTAGCCTGTAATTATGAATGATTGTGTTTGAAACCCGCAGTCATCAATGGCTTTTACGAGAACAGTTCACGATAAGAAAACAATTAATTTATACCTACAGACAATAATTGGGGAAAGAACTACTTTTGTAATCGATTAGCGGATTTCCTTAAGTGGGTATTTAGTAATAGGTGGTATTCCTTTGGGAGCAACGCGTGTGCTTATGTAAAGGGAAATCGACATGGGACATATGTACAACCTTCAATCAATGTCAGTAATACATTTCAATTCTCATTTTTTCTTTGGCAGTCACGTCATTGGCAATAACCTATGATAGTAATCAGATTCACCTTTTAATTCATTTCAAATACCGTGAGTAGGGTTTGATGGAGAGCTAGAGGAATACTTAAAGCTTCTAAGCGTCGACTACGGGTCTGCGTTTTCTTAGCCTGTATCATGGGAATTGTAAGTAATACAAAAACAATACCAGGTCGCTCGGTTATGGATTAAGTTTGGCAATGTTTTACATTTTAAATACATTTGTATTTGGGTATGATTTGAAATATTTTCCCTTCCACTCGCTGCTGATTCATTGAAAGAAATACTTAATGAGTGACATTGGAACATTGATGACATATGTAAACATGTAAATTTCACAGTGTAAGATCTTGGGATGGATTGTTGTTATTAACTGGTCCCATGGACGGTTGTGTATGTGTGGTCTATTTCTGAATGTTAGGTACAAATGTTGTCTCTTGTGTGGCATCTCCAATCAATACTGTAACATCAATGGCTTAGTGGTAAAAATATTCATTATTAATAAATGAAATCATTTTTACAATTTGATCATCGGAGGTGAAGGTCTCTTAATGAAATGCTGTTCTGTTTGTATCAATAAACAACAACATCACCACATTGAATTGTGTCTGTGATCAATGAAATACAAGTATCTATATATCCTGTTTAAACAGTTTTCGTTGGCAGCAATAACATTATTGTTTTTACGCCTGCAGTAGTTGATGGATACTCCAAAGCTTCACAAAATGACGTGAGAGATGACGAGAGAGACTTGACGAGATTTGTGTCATTCAAACTACAGGTTGCCATATTACACATTTTAGGTTTTGGCAGAGAACACCATCAGTATGTTGCATCGTTCGATGTAGATCACGCCACCATGTGTACAATTACGTCGTTGACAGAGTTTAATATCGTTCAATGCATTTTGTAATAAGGAGTAAAAAAGGTTGCTTTATCTTTTAAAATATATTCCCATTTACTCTGTGAAAAGCTGCTTGCGACTGTCACTGTTCTATCCCAGATATAAACCATCTGCCTTTAGTGTCAGAAAAGGCCAAAGAAAAGGATTACTCTCAATTTTGTTGATTTTGTGTCAATAAACTGTCATTCGAAATAATTCCTTCTGCAAAAAGCACAGCTTTCTGTCTAATAACGCGTTGATAAATGGCTCACAATTTCACTGTTTTATTGAAATGAACACATTTCGAGAAAGCGTCTTAAGGCACTTGGTAATCAAGTCAGCGTTTGTGACAAGTTGGTTTATACCTAATTCAGTCGGATTGTCTTGTCTGACGTGGGCCAAAGTTCTCACTGTGATACTTTGTCAAATGATTTTGACGAAGTATGAGTAAAATGACATTTGCATCAAATGTACTAACATGAACCATGTTGATGTCTTTGCAGGTATGCAACCGAAGTATATCATTTCCAAATGTATAAAAAATGTCCTTGCATTCATATTCCTGTTCATGTAGTTGAACACTTTGCTTCTGCAATGTGATGGTTTGGGATCTCAAACACCGAGAATGCCATACCTCTTCTTTCTTAATATCTAAAAATATTCTATTAAATATCATTACTGTCCAATTAGTTTCAAATATCTATTGTAAAGAGAAATATGAGAATATTTATTGAATGTTGTGGTAATAAGGCAAAAACAAAACTCAACAGGGATGCATTTTAGGCTTTGATCAGCAATTCAACATAAAAACAGGAATGACATCACTGTTGAATCTGTTGGGTTGCGACTGTTTAGTATGCATCATCGCAACTCATCACTAGTTTTACAATAAACATGGTATAGAGTTGTGGACTTTACTGACTCAGATTATATATATGAATAATGGATTGTAGGCATTTCTAGATCTACGAGCATGACTCATACAAATGCATATCAAATAGTTAACGTTATTATTGACTTTCCGTTATACTCGGAGAGACACAATAAATAAATTCGGCCTCAGTGAACAAAAACATGACCGATAGTATGGAGTATTTGCGTTTGTATAAAATACTTGAAAGAACCAATGTCCTTTCACTATAAGGAAGAAGCGTTGTAGAAGGACATTTGAGAGGAAGCTTGAATTGTTGATATGATGTACTTGGTGTTATTATTTGTATCCTGGCGATATGTATATGTAAGGAGAGATGGAGTGTCAGACTGGTTCGGTCTCACATGTTGGATATATGATATTCGATTCAGCTATTAATTCAACTGTATGTGTTTCAATTTTTTCACTGGTTGTCAATGTCGATACTGGACCATTTTCTCAGTGCAGAAAATGCACATCGGCTCAGTGCATTTTCTTTAGAACCGAGATAGGGATTGTGCAGCAGATTTATACTTTATGTCAGGTATGATGTATGTTACGGTACGAAAAGCCTAAATCACTGTTAACATGACTGATGGCACATGTAGTGTTACAGTAGCTGTGAAAGAACGTTGGCGTTGTTGATAGAAACTGTGCCTCATATTATCAGCACACAGAAATATAAGGGATAAAACGTGTTTGTTATTTAAACATTCACCCATATCTGACTTGTCTCTTAGATCATAGTCAGGTTACAAAATTGGTCTGGATTTTTTGTGTTGATATTTTGAGTGTTAAATATTGTTACAAAATGTGAGAGCAATATAAAATTGAATGCTCAAAACGTATTGCCTCAGGCGCCGATTTGTTACTTACAGTTAGTTTGTTACATTTAAAACATGTATGTTAGTTTCTCTGTATACTGCCATTCACACTTGAAAGCCAGCAATTCATCGAAACCGTACGGTACATAATAGTTTATCATCAAGATAATTGGATGTTTAGTGTAGTTTGTAATAAGAAATTCAATAGTGTTATGGTTTTATTTTTCACTGTCGCAATATAAATATTTCATGTCAGAATCTAATTCCCTTCTTTAGACCAA